GTTAGTCCAGATCAGATTGGTAAAGCGCTCTCAAAGGATTTAAGATATAAGTTAATAATGTGTAATAAAGAGCAAAAATAAATCTAAATTATTTAAAATCTCAAACTATTTTAATTTAAGCCTTGATATAAAAAGTGAATATACGATGTCGCCAGCTGCGTTCAATCGTCAAATATTTGCTTAGAGTCATCTGGATTTGCGATTTATTCTATTCTGCTCGCGACAATAAATTTTATATCATGTATATCATGAGCAAATAAAGCCAAGTATACAATAAAAGGAAATCATAATTTACATTTGGAAGTATGTCCAAATTATATATTTTGCTGAGAAATCAGTATTGTTAATAGCCCAATGTATAAATGTAAATATATAATAATAAAAAAAAAATAAAAACAAAGAAGGCGCATTGTTTAAAAAGAAATGTGTCGTAGAAATAGTCAGTCGTTCTAAAGTAGTTCATCTAAACACATTCGAGCTCTTATAATGTCTAAGATTAAAACAAAAAACGTAGATTTTTAATTCAAAATTTCCGGTATTACATTTGGCACTAAATTCTGAGAAAATTTTCAAATGTCTTTGTATAGATGCTCATCCATATGTCTGAGGAAGCCCATCCTTAGAGGTTTTAATTTTCTGAACAGATATATTGAGCAGCCACATCTTCCAAGTTGTCTTAGCAGCATCCAGCGACTGCCATTTACAACGACTGGAAGATGTAATTCACCTGACGATTCGAATACGAATGGTTGCGATGGAGAAAAGGACAAAGAAAAAGCAGCGGCAGCAAAACAAAAAAAGAAAGATGAAGAAAAAATAAAAGAATATAAGATGCAATGTTTTGAACTTCAGAAGAGAGCACTGGATGAAGAAATCCAATCTTCAAGTGATAAGGAAAAGCAATTAATTCAGGGTATGATGAAGTGTCTGACCGAGGGTATGAAAAAGGCGTGTTCGAAAATAGCTCTAGCAAAACTGTGTGCTGATAAAGAACTTGAGGATCAATGTGCTGCACTAGCTAAAAAAGACAAAGTTAAAGCTATGCTCAAGAAATGTGAGAAGAAAATGGCTAAAGAAAAAGCTAAAAAGCAAAAATGCCCACCTGAGGAAAAGGAGGATAAGAAAAAGAAAAAGAAAAAGAAAGGCAAGAGCAAAGAACAAGCGAAAAAGCCAAAACAGCCAAAAAATAGATTTACACTAAAATTAGAGAAGTGCATCAAAAGCGAGTGGGCCGATGTTTGTGAATGTCGTCAATCTTTTAGCGAAGAGGAAAAGAAAAGACTCTCGAAAGCCTACAAATGTCTAGGACCTGAGATCAAAAGTTTTTGCAGAAAGAAGGTAATAAGCGAAATGTGCAAGGAAGCAGGACAAAACAGGAAGCCTAAGAAATCAGACAAAACAGAGAAAAAAGAAGATGAAAAGAAAGAACAGGAGCTGGAGAAAGCAGTACTCAAAGAACAAGAAAAAGAAGAGAAAAATATGAAACGCCTAGTAAAAGAATTAAAGAAAAAATGCAAAAAAAAGCACGGGAAAGCTCTTAAGAAAAAGTGTAAAGAGGATGCCAAAAAGAAAAAGAAAGCAGCATTAAAAAAGAAATGCAAAAAATTAGCCGAGCAAGAGAAGTGTAAAGAATTAGCTGAAAAAGAGAAGTGTAAAAAATTAGCTAAAAAGGAAAAGGAAGGAGATGAAGAGGAAAACTGCGAAAATGGTGATGAAGCGGAAAAGGAGGTGAAACAAAAGAAAAAGTGTAAAGAATTGGCAAAAAAGGCAAAGAAAGATGCGGAAAAGAAAATGTGCGAAGAAGCTGCTAAAAAAGAAAAGCAAGAGGCTGAGAAGAAAAAATGCAAAGAAGCGGCTGAAAAAGAAAAATGCGCAGAAGCTGCTAAGAAAAAGAAGGAAGCGGCTGAAAAGAAAAAGTGCAAGGAATTAGCTAAAAAAGAAAAGTGCAAAAAATTAGCTGAAAAGGACAAGTGCAAAAAAGGTGGAAAAAAGGGAAAGAAAGAAGGAAAAGATAAGAAGAAGTGTAAAGAATTAGCTAAAAAGGCAAAACAAGCTGCTGAAAAGAAAAAGTGCAAGGAATTAGCTAAAAAAGCAAAGAAAGCTGCCGAAAAGAAAAAGTGCGAAGAAGCTGCCAAAAAGGAGAAGGAGGCGGCTGAAAAGAAAGCTTGCGAAGAAGCAGCTGAAAAGGAAAAATGCGCAGAAGCTGCTAAAAAAGAAAAGGAAGCGGCTGAAAAGAAAAAGTGCAAGGAAGC